CTTCACTCCTATGCTGCTAATTTCACAGTTTAGTTTTCCTAATTATCCCACTAATAGGGCCCCCTTCCTACCCCAGGCCCCATAGCAGCTGTGTGGGCTGCTACGGCTATTGTTACGCCACTGCTTGTATGGACAAGACCGGCACGGTTATTCTCAACAGGCTGATCCAGGTGCATTACCGTGTTTCCTTGAAAATAAGACACTGTCATATTTATTTTTTTTCATGAAAAAAGACACTAGGTCTTATTTTCGGGGGATGTCTTACCTGGCTGCAGCTGTCGAGCTCAAACGCTCTCTGCCCCGATGCAAACAGGGCGGGCGTGAATGCAGGGGGCTGGGGAGGGAGGGAGCTGCGGCTGCTCTTAATATGTAAAAATCAATTACATGTGCAGCTACCCCGGAAGTAAGATCTAGCGCTATCTTCAGGGATTTCTGTAATATAAGACCTACCCCGAACTAGGTCTTATTTTCGGGGTAGGTCTTATATTACAGAAATCCCTGAAGATAGCGCTAGGTCTTACTTTCGGGGTAGGTCTTACTTTCGGGGAAACACGGTAGATGCATGAAAAAAAAACCAGTGATGTTAAATAAAAAACATAATTGCAAATGTTGTTTTTGTTATATCTGGAGTTAAGCATAAATTATTTTAAAAATTGCACTGGTGTTTATATAGTTATAAGTGACACAGTTATTCAGGTTCAGATCAACCTAATAGAACGCACAGACCAGCACAAGCTGCGGACCTGCATGCACATTTACATGGCAGTTGCGCCACATTGTGGTGACATTAGGGAACTGACACAATTAGATTGCCCATATTTACATACAGAAGATGTAGAAGTAGAGCTAGCCAATTACAAGTCTGTGGTAGTCAGAATTAAAATAGAACTTTGGGAAAAATAAGAAAAGTACATATATGATGCAATGAGCCAATAATAGCATTTACACAGCAGCCTTCATTTTCCTGAGTCCCCCCTGTTACACAGTTGTATTACCTGCTCATCCGACCAGTAAGCCTGTTATTTTTCAGCTCCCTTTAACAGATCGAGCTGTCCAGTAAGAGTGTCAGTTAGCGGGTTGAGACAACCATTTCACAATGACAGGGGAGGGGGGGCTTACAATGATTAGCTTTCATTCATAAAGTTAAAACTGTTTCTGTAGTTGCTTAGAAAGTGTTAGTTGGAGTTCAGATAAACAGTCATTTGTTAGTCACCTATGTAAAGTCCATCTACATCTACTACTCCATCTAACACCACCCTCCTCACAGGGTGACAACGCTGCTGTCCAAGGTTGGCTGTGCTGCTCCTCCATAGATATAGTGGATAAGTGAGAGTAGCCACAAGGGTTATAGATCTCCTTTACTCTCTCCAAAACCAAAACAAATGGCTTCAGTTCTACATTAAGCTGTAATACTATATATTCTACCATATATGCCGGCGTATAAGACGGGTTTTTAGACACAAAAACACTGCCCGAAAATCAGGGGTCGTCTTATACGCCGGGTATACTTCGGTATACTGTATGTAGCTTCGGCTACATACAGTATATCGCGCTGAGCCAATCACGGCAGGCTTTGTATTAATGACTACAAAGCCTGTATTAATGCAAAGCCTGCCGTGATTGACTCACAGGTAGCACAAACACCATAATCCAATCACCACGTGTACAGTAGATGTTGACTTTCCAAGATGGGAGGTGGTAAAGTTGTGGAACCCCCTGTTCTAGTTACATAACCTCAGTCTCGGTGTCTCATAGTCTGTAAAGGTGTTGTCACATACCTCGACAGGAGCCTTAGGGTGGAGCTCTCTTGATGCTCAAGTCCGAGCGGACCTAGTGGTGGAACAAAGGTTGCAGGGATGAAAGAGTGGCATGAGTGCCGGCAGGTGACGTAGTCTCTGAAGTTGATGAAGGATGTCTGGATCCTGGCCAGCAGGAACTACTACAAACTAGAAGCAATGTCAGAGGAGAACAGTACGGCACTGGTACAGCAGGCAGAGTCAGGAACTGGCCGGGACGGTAACTTGCGGCAGCATGGTACAGAATCAGAAGGCAGAGTCAGGAATGGGCTGGGACAGCAACTTGTGGGTGGCACGGTTGAGAATCAGCAGGCAGAAGAATAGTCAGAAGACAACCCGAGGTCGAACAGGATCAGAACAGCAAACCGGAGTGTTGTGAGGCAAGCCGGGTCAGAAACAGAAGGTCAGGAATGGATTCAGGATCGCAGGTCACAGGATACAGCTGAAGATTTCTCAGCAATGGAGCCATGCAGAATTCAGCCTGAAATAGCCCACCTGGCACCAGGATCTGTAATGAGCACATGTGTGCGCCCGCTCGCACCCCGTGAGGCACATGCACAGATGTGCCCAAGTCTGAGTAGAGGAGCATGGCTAGGCACAGTCCCATTAGCAAGGCGGCGCCCCCCACCCTATGCTCGTGCACAGATGCTTGTGCAGAACCCCTACCGCTCGGCTTGGCTGGAACTTCAGGTGACAAGTGTTAATGTTTTCATTTACATGGCATAGGGTGTGATTTGTCACATTGTTGGGGCAGAGCTTTCAAAACGATCTTCTCCGTGGACAGCGGATGGTGTTGAAGGCCCTCATCCCTGTTGAAAGGTTGTTTCAGTTTGATGCAGTTGGCTTTTTTTTACAATTCTTGCCAACCAGTTGTCTTCCCTGTCCCAAAGGTACACCTGCCTGCAGGGCCAGATTTACTCTCTCTGCTGCCCCAAGGTCAGGTTCCTCAATGCGCCCCCCTGTATGTAGGCTGCATACAAGTAATCTCGGCGACATCGCCAAGATCACTTGTACAAAACAAGCGGCAGCTTCCCCGCTGTACATTTAGCTCTGCTTGCCCAAAGCAGGGCTAAATGTAGAAAACCACTACCCGCCCGGCGCTCAGAACGGCATGTCCCGGGGCTCGGGAGATAGGTATTCCACACTCCTGCTGCCCCGAGGCCTGGCCTCGGTTGGCCTTGTGGGAAATCTGGCCTTGCCTGTCCTTGAATGTAATTTTCCTTAAAGGGGTTGTTCACCCTTCTCACCCACTTTACCTAATTGAAGTCCTATTCCCCTCATTTATTTATGGCTCTATTCACACAGAACGAACATACACAGTGTTTCAAGATGAATGGCTCTGCAAATTGTTTAGAAACACACCCCATTTTGTGGCTGATACTGTATATATTGGCATGGTCTTCATTCTTCTGCACACATGGCCCCCTATGTATATAAACCATCTCATTATACTTGATTGTAAATAATAGTTCTGAACAGTGCAGCTCATGTCAGCCTCACGCGGGAGGCAAGGAGTGTTTTATTGTACGGCTTAGGCAACACAACGCCAACATCAGAACAAATTGTAGATATGTGACCATATAAAAAGAATGCAGGTCATAAAGACTTCATAAAAACATTGACTATTACACAATCTACAATCTATGAGCACACGGGAGATACCGTGGACGTTTTTATCTATTATTTCATGTGGCTTAGGATTGTGAACTATTACCTAAAAATGTCAGTCACTTAGAACTAAACCTATTTATTGAAACATCATAAAATCTTTAATATTTTAATGTAATTTCAAAGGTTGTTTTCCAATTTGTTAAAAGCTGCAAATTTCAATAAAATAAACCTTGGTCAGCCTTCCATGATGGTCTTTGTTCAGGCACGTCATGTTATGGAGGTGACAACTGTCTCTAAACTGTTCTCCTTGAATTGTCACTCTGCTGCTGTGGTGGATACATCAAGAACATTGCCCAGGAATGGTCCATTGTCCTCTCCAGAAGCCGGTCTAGACAAATGATGCTCCTCCAACGCTGTTCATTGTTCATGATATAAAGTTCTTCAGCAAACTCAATCTCATCTAGTTGGGGGTTTAGATTTTTCTAAGCTCATGTGCCTGCCACTAAGTAGACATTATAATGCCCTCTTGGTTACATAGGGATCGAGGTCTTTGTCTTCTGATCAGTCCCTTTACCGAGAATGTTCTGGCGAGTATTGAGCTCGGGTCTGAGCAGTATCACGTAGCATTTTGGAAAGAAGATACAACCGACGATGCCCGCACTGGAGGACAAGATACCAAACACTTCAACAGCCACCATGAACTTGCCCTGAGTGCTCAGATACGCAGGTATGAAGGAGATCCAGACGCTCAAGAAGATCAGCATAGAGAAGGTGATCCACTTGGCCTCATTAAAACTGTCGGGTAGATTCCTGGCCAAGAACGCCACCAGAAAACTGATGCAGGAAAGGAGGGCCATATATCCCAGCATGCACCAGAGCAAGGTGTCTGAACATTCATTACACTGAAAGATGATGACTTCGGTCTTGATGGTCATGTTTTTCTCGGGGAAGGGAGGACACTGAATCAACCAGTAGATACAAATGATTATCTGGATGAAGGTGCTGACACAGACCGTCGAAGCAGGGACTTTTGGCCCGAGCCATCTTCTCATGTTACTTCCAGGCTTTGTTGCTCGGAAAGCAATGACCACCATCACTGTCTTGGCCAGGACGCATGAAACGCTAATAACGAAGATGACACCGAAAGCTCCCTGGCGGAACCGGCAAGTGAATTTCTGAGGTTCTCCGATGAAGAGTAGAGAGCACAGGAAGCTCAACGACAGAGACACAAGAAGGAGATAGGTGAGGTCACGGTTGTTGGCCTTGACGATGGCGGTGTCTTTGAATTTGATGAATACGCATAATATACTGACGGTGGTGAAGGAGCAGAAGATGACGGTTGAGGTCAAGGTTATTCCCAGCGGTTCCCAGTAGGACAAAAAGTCAATCAGCTTCGGGATGCATATGGTGTTGTCTTTATTTGGCCACATTTCACTGGGGCATGGAAGGCAGTTGCTTGAATCTGGAAAGCATGTGCAATACAATCATCACACGGGTACAGAAACGATATTTCATAAACTGGCGTGTTATGATACGGAATCCGTTAACGGAATTCGTATTTCGTTTTGGTTGACCAATCAGAGGTTCTCTAATCTCTTCTGCTGCTGAGAGTTGCATTACAATACAATATACAGGCAGGAAATACGACATTCCGTTGACGTATTTTCGTTCTGTTACGAACATTCGTTATATTGAAGGTAAAAAGCAAAGTACATTTATATTGGAGTTGATGGTAGTTTTTTTAAAAGTCTGAAATACGAAATTTGGATACGGAACCCGTTAACGGAATTCGTATTTCGGATACAAAAACAACTACCACATAGACTCCAATAATAACAAAGGTATTTTTGCTTTTTAACTTCATCATAACGAATGTTCGTAAAGTTACGAAAACGTGCCGAAACTAACGAAAATCCGTATTTCGTCCGAATCCGAATTGAGTTTCGGATACGAATTACGAAATACGAAATAATGGATATTACGAAACGGAACGAAACGGAACAAATTTTTTGACGGCTCACAAGTCTAGTGTTAACTGATCTCAGGTTAGATGTGAACTGGAAAAGGTTCTCCAGCCAATGTCCTTCATTCCCCATAGTAATGCCATATAGGTTCAGCATAATGGACCACTACACCCAATTTCAAAACCATTGTCTCCATCTGGTCATGTTCTAGGGCAGTGATGGCGAATGTTTTCTGAACCCGAGTGCCTAAACCGTGACGCAAAATCAATTTATTTGTCTCAAAGTGCCAACACCGAAAATAAGTTTGGTATTGTGTTTTAGTTTGGGCGCCGGGGTTTAAACAACATTCAGCATCACTGCCTTAGGCAAGGTAGGGAAACACACGTATTCAAACATTTTATTTTTTCTTTATTTATTATTTTTTATCACTTTATTTATTTATTTTACCTCTTTAAATTTGTAGACAGTGACCCACTTATCTTATTAACTTTTACGTTGTTTATAATTTTCATTGCTTTTATTTTTTTTACTTTGTATCACTTTTTTAATTTTGACATTTTATTTTTTTTATTTTTTTATTGATTTATTTTTTTACTTTTTATACATTTTAATTTTTATTTATTTTATTAATATTTGCTCTTTTCAATGAACTTGTTTTGGTATCACAGAGAAGCTAACAAGCGATATGAATTCCACACCCGTCTCTCGGTTCGTGTGCCACCAGAGGAGCCTCTGCATGCCCTCTGAGGCACGCGTGCCATAGGTTCGCCATCGCTGTTCTAGGTTATTGAAAGCAACAATTTAGTAGGACATTGGTAAATAAGGGACTTTAAAAAAGCTTCCCCCGAGACATGTTATTTAATTGTGAAGCTGTTATTTGCTCTTTTCAATAGCCAGGGTGCACATAGTCCTCTTCATCTGACATATTTCCAGAAGAGTCAGACTTCTGTTCGCACGCAGAGCACTGTGGATCCTTCCACTAGTATGTATGTCACTGCTGTGCCCTGCTGTGATGTAGGGGCTGGCAGAAGAAACCACCGCTAAGGTTAAAAACAGAGGTTTAGATACATGTCTTCTGCAGAATATGTGAAAGCCGCACAGCCGCGCCAAGCTCTAAACTATGAGAGTCTCCATCTTGGAGCACATGTAGCAAAAGATAAAAAAGATAAAATTGGGTGCAGGTTCGCCAGGAGGTAGCCCAACCTCCTTAAAGGCACAGAGACATGCACATCACAACGGCAGCTGAGACCCCCCAGTGTGTCACTGTACCAAATCACAGAGGGGCCTTGACGAGGCTGTGCGGATTTCACATATTCGGCAGAAGACGTGTATCTAAAACCTCTGTTTTTTAACCTTAGCGGTTAGACAGGTTTGTTTTTTTGCATGCTGGCTGGTGAGTGTGCTGGGAAACTTTTTGCTGTTGTACTGTATAAAGCCCTTCCATGTGCACCTTGCTTGAAAGCTGGTTATGAGTTGATGAGTGCGTTTGCCATTTGTTTTGCTTGGCAGAATAAATCAGCGCACTTTGCACAACAAGGAATCCAACACTCCTAGAAGAGTGTCAGATAAAGAGGATTCTCTCGGCACTGTACGCCTTGAAGAGAGCAAAGATCTGGGGCGTGGTTGTGGTTTGAGATTGAATTTGAAACATGACTATACAAACCCCTCAGCTCATGTGACCAGTTTAGATGCAGATAGTGCTTAACAGAGTTTGCCAAAACAATTGATAATTTCTTTCTCTTCTACGAATGGAACAAATGGTACCTCTTTGGCTGGATATGTGCCCTTCCGAGCAGGGAATGCAGTCAAAGCAGCACAAGGGCTGCCCATTTTGCTGAGCTTTTCGAAATCCAGGGGAACAACTCTCGCTGCAGACAGCTTTAGGGATCTACAGGGAGAGAATAAGCATAATCTGTATGAGGGAAGACTAACTGATCTGTCAGCAGGTTGGAAGGTTGGGCTATGGTGAGCTCCATATGATGTTACCATTACAGCTCTATATATTAAAGTGCCTCCCTGGGCAGATTTATACACATATTCCCCTTCCACCCCATTCACACCCATACACACATTTTTCGAAAAGCAAAAAGCCCTTCAAAACCTATTTTTACTCACCTGAAACCACCATCATGTGTTCCTTGCTGTTGCCTATTGCTGAAGAGAGACTTGTGATCCAACGTGGAAAGCATGTATGCCCATAGTGACTTGCTATCCAGTAAGATCCTTGTTGGATGGAGGAGGGATGAGGAGAGAGCTTACTTTGGGAAGTTTAAACGATACTGTGAAGCAGTTATTACAGCCTGCAATACCACCGGCCACCACTAGACAGTGACCCAAAATCTAGCTATCTGAACATGCACAGGCAGACACAAAACTGGCAAATAATCAGGGCCAGATTTCCCACAAGGCCAACCAAGGCCTGGCCTAGGGGCAGCGGGGAGTAGAGTGGCAGCAGGGGTGCGGGATACCTATCTCCCGATGCCCGGGTGGGTAGTTGTTTTCTACATTTAGCCCTGCTTTGGGCAAGCAGAGCTAAATGTACAGCTGGGAAGCTACAGCTTGTTTTGTACGAGTGATCTTGGCAATGTCGTCGAGATCAAATGTATGCAGCCTACAGGTCTGTCATTCTCTATGGGAGGGGGGGGGTTTGGCGGGTAGGGGGGTGCAATGAGGAACCTGGCCTTGGGGCAGCAGAGAGACTAAATCCAGCTTTGCATATAATCTAGCACACTCTAACGGTTGTGGAGCATCCTAGTGATTTATTTGATATTACAGTTGGCTATTTGTTATCCTATAAAAAGGGAGAGAAACAGAACTTTACCATTTGGGAAGTATTGTTTTTTAGATTGTAAGCCCTCAGGGGTAATGATAATGATACATGCTATTGCCGAATAAACAGGCCCATAGTGAAAATGTAACCCTCCTTACCATCTTGTCTTGAATTGTATTGTGATTGTCATGTCTTCCTTACATTGTAAAGCGCTGCGCAAACTGTTGGCGCTATATAAATCCTGTATAATAATAATAATAATAGTAGTAATTGTTTCATCCTGTTGGCTTTTTCATGCCACTCAATTTATAGAGGTATGGACGTGGAACGGACTCTTGGCCAATCACCTTTGGAGGTTTTACCAGCCTTGGTGTGAAAATGACTTCTTACTCTTTGAAGTGGCTGTGGGATATATAGACCAGCTGGTTCTGGTGGCTGGATCGGGGTTAGAATTTCCGATACCAGCACATCATTCCAATTGCAGTAAGCCCAACCACCACATGACAGCCACAAGCAGATCCCATATAACTCTTTTGAAGGCCCCTAGGTCAGGGTACACCATTTTGCATCTGCATGAAGCCCATAATGCATCAGAAACGATAATTTTTCATCTCCCTATTACTAATGTTAAGGTTTTTTTTTTCAAGATTTAATATATTCTCTCTGATCTAAGAAAAAATATCCCAGTGCCTCCAATATTGGATGACCTCACCCCTTTCTAGTTTTGTATTCACCAGATCTGAAGGATTCTTTGAGGGCTGGCGAAGTCATAGTTTCATTACGCTTATCTACAGCAACAAGCCCACAGGTCCTGTCAGAGATTTATTAGCAGCTGTGTTAATTCAGGTCTACAAGCCTATTCCGGTTCTAGTAAACAAAAGGGTGGAAGCCCTAGAGCCTTGATTGAGCATCCCCTCAAGTACGTGAGAAAAAATGTGATAAACTATTGAAAACTTTGATTATGCAACAGCAAGTGGATCGTTCAGCTGGCAGCCATTAGCGCCTAGAGTTAAAGAAAACTATTCAGGTTCTAAGCTATGAGCTTCATCCATTTGGATAATTTAGGAACATATCCGGAATGTCATACGCTACAAAGAGCTGCTGTCCAAGCCTGCCACCAACCAGTCCTGTTGCTCCATTGAGAAGTGATAGCAGTTTTCTGCAGCCGAAGAGAACAACATACCCCGGCATCTCCAGTGATCCACTTGATTGCTGTGACATTGACACTTAGCTCGTTCTCCTGGCTCTCCCGTATGTTGTAGCGGCCGACCTTGACAAAGTCAATGCTGCCGTCGGCGTTCCGGTGCCAATTCAGGACGTCATAATCGGTCGGAGGGTTTCCATTGGCATCAAAGTAGATTTCTTCACCCATGCGGTTCTTAAAGCGATGTTTTTTCAAATTCTGAGCAACCTGTATAGATGATGATACAATATTTATTTATATGTATTTGCAAGTTCTGAGTTAGACCAAATGCAACACAGTTGATCACTTTAAAGTGTCTCTAAAGACAAAAACTCTTAGCTTTAGGTGGAGTAGTGAAGAGTTAGAACCTTTGTCCTCTTGGGGAAATTTCCCATTCCTTCGTGTTCTGGAAACACACCAAAAGGTGAGACGAAGGGGGTGATTTACTAACCTAAACACACGCACGCACTAGGTGCGTGTGATTTTTACACAGCAAAACGTATTTATCAACCAAAAAGTCTCTAAAAGCATATTTCCACTAATGCCATATATGGAAAAATCATGCACATGATGCATATATAATGCTGCTTCACAGTTTAGACAAAAATGGTTAGCTCTTGCATTTACATTCCTGCATTCATCAATGCAAGCAACAAAACATAGAGCTAATTTACACAACATCACCTTGCAAGTTCATGCAGGGCTTTGCACAACACACCTACTGGGTGTGTACACACTACAAAGGTGTTTAGATTCCACCCATAGATCATGCTGGGAGGGAACACACTACAGAGGTGTATACATGTTCGTGGTGTGTTTATAAGGTTAGTAAATCAACCCCGAATTCTCTCAAAGTGAGTAGAAATCCTCATTTTGTCATCAGGTGTCCCTACCGGGGAATTTCACCGCACCTCCTATTTTGGTGACAACTGTAAAAATTAGGGTTGCACAGATACCAAGTATAGTACTCGGTACAAGTACAAGTACCGATACTTTTGAGCTCCAAGACTAGACTAGAGAAAAATTAAAAAGTTAGGAGGCGGCTGTCATGTGTAAGGAGCACACGGAGCTCCTGGGATTTGTACATCTCTGTGTTAATGTACGATTTTGTTTTTATAAATATAAATAAAGGGATGCACAGATACCAGTTTTGCGAGTACGAGTACTGATACATTTTTGTTTATTGTCATGTGACAGTTTTTCTACAACAATGCAGACTAATGATTTCAGGACAGTGGTGGAGCTCCAGAGCCCGGTCCCAGCTGCAACCACTGCAACCCTGGTAGTTCTCATGAAAATGCCAAGTATGTGCACTGGTACTCGAAAAGTATCTGTGCACCCCTAGTAAAAATGATCTATCCCTGAGACAATGGTCACCAAGACAAATGGAGACACTGAATCCCCATAATGAGCAAACAGACAGAAAAAAAGGTTCTATCTCTTCTCTACTCTATCTAAAACAAAACCCAAAATGCTACAAAAATGCAACTGGAAAGGTTCTGAAGAACCAGATCAGACTCACTCGTAGAAAGCCTTTTCCTCCAGAAGTGAGCAAGCAACGGTATGTGTTGGCTTACTTCCCAATCTATTGAGCCGACCTGTGACAGTTTGATTGTCACACGTCGTGGGGGGGGGGGGGGGGGTAGCCCCATTGCAAGGATTAATTTTAAAAAAGACCAGAAACCTTAAGACAAGGAGTACAAGACCAGACAGGAAAGCTGAACTCATTGATATGAACACTTAACTCCAGGAAATCTTTTTTCAAGATGTCAGTATTTTAAAGGCTCACGTACCTCCTCAAGGGGTTGACTATGCCATTTGTTCAAAATACACTGTACCTCCAGGTAAAATGTAACATACAATGCATTGTTTGATAAATAAGATGGTCTTTCTTTATTATATTAAGTTATTTAAAAGTGAACCTGCGCTTTGCCCATGCAGGGTTTGCTTTAATACTACCTCCTCATGTATCACTTCTCCCTCCCTCTTAGATTGTAAGCCCTCATTGGCAGGGCCCTCCTTACCATCTTGTCTTGAATTGTATTGTGATTATAATGTCTTCCTTATATTGTAAAGCAATATACTGTATAAATCCTGTATAATATTAATAATAATACCCTGCTACCCAGCAGCACATACCTTTATTGCTCCATTCAGCCCCCAGAAACAAGTAAAGGAAGCCATGCTTGGACCACACATAGGGTGGAGGACTCTCTTTCCACCCCCATGTAATAGCAATGGCACCAAGCATCATTGCTGTTACATAACAGAAAGGGGGTGTCTACTGGATGTAGCTATGGGAGAGGGAAGGAAAGAGGACTATGTGATGCTGGGGTAGGGATAATTAAAACAAGCATGTTGCTTGGTGCTTTAATGGTAAGCACATGTTTGCTTGAAAGTCAGAGCCCATTTTAGTTGCCCTTCATGCACAAATCCAGGAACTGACCAACGATTCACTAACTTTTGTTCATAACTATTTAACATATATATAATGATGTACATACAAAACCTGGTGTCCCGTTATACAGTGTGAAGATGCAGCTCCCTGCAATGCTACAAAGGCAAAACCAAATGGAATGTGCAATAGCCTTGGTCAGCAACATCATTGTTGGTTATTGGGTAGAACAGTTCTCGATGACCAACCCAATTTCTGCAAGCACAACTGGCAGTGTGTCTCCCTGAGCCTTACTAAAGAGTACTATCTTGGGGGTTGCTACCAATCATGTTGCTCCATCATTACAACAAATATAACTAAGAGATAAATAAGCTAGGTAACAACATTAGTAAAGCTCAGATAATGCATTCTTAATTTGGGAAATTGCTCAAAAAAGGAAAAGGTTATAGCGTACCTGCCAGGGCAATATGCTCCCTTGAACTCCACATTCTCCATATAGAGTGGTATTCTGACCCATCATACAATTAAAGATAGTGTCATGGAGTGTGTGGGCCACAGCATACACTGCATTATACACCAAATAGTGCACTTTAAAATCAAATTCATTAAACACATATTCATTGTTTCTGAAACGAGTCAGTTTCTCTGCCCCAGTACACCACACAGTTCCATTATCCACAGTTGTTCTGGAGTCTGGCCAGCGACACTCCTGAATTATTTCCCAGGCGTTCTTCACAAAGATATCCTGAGGAAGGGCAGTTGAAGGACTGATATCAAGAAGGAATTCTTTAAACCCTGGCATTCCCACTTCATGCAAAGACACAGCAAGTGTCCCCATCATCACGCTGCTGTACCATTTTGATTGAAGAATTTGCGAGTTTGACCATCCTTCGGTAGCCAACCAGATGTGCTTGGCATCCTGTCTGCCTAACAATAACTCAATCAGTGGGTGAATCACAGGGTCTCTAGAAAATATTATAACAACCTTAGCTGATGACCGAGCAACGATATCCGCAATATATTTCAATTTTGTTGAAGAAGTCGCTTGGCCAAAAGTTTCATGGTAAGCAAGACAAACTCCAAATTTCTGGAGCTCTTCTTTGAGTACTTGAGATCCTAGAATACCATATTCTTGGTCAAGTGAGAGTAGGCCAACCCAATTCCAGCCCATGTAGGAAACCAACTTGGCCAGGGCACGTGCCTGTTTGTCATCACTAGGAATGGTGCGGAAGAATGATGGATAGAGGTAGCGGCTGTTCAAGGACGCTAAAGAAGCAGTGTAGCTTATCTTGAGTGGAAAATGTTAGAAAAAAAGGTCAATTAGCATTAAATTATAGCAAAAGACATGAATAAATTAGAAAAATTCATTTTTTTGTGTGGATATGTACAAAATCATTATATGAGTGTATATTTTTTTTAAATAAGATGCTTCTTTAAGACACAAATTTGTGTGTTAGAGATCATATTGGTAGTGCAGTCAGAATCATTATAACATGAGAATGTCCTGTATATCTTTTGTTGTTGGATTATGCCCCCATTCTATTCTTGGAGGAGAGAAAGGGAATATTTGAGGAGATGACAATGTATATTATTTACATAGCACAGACTGGTATCAAAAGATGGTAAACATGTAAAAAATGGTTTGAAGACCATTTATGTGATGATATGGTTTCTAAGCTGATCTCTGATGTGTAGCCAAGTGAGAACCTGTTGTTTCTTCCTAATAAAAAGATGGTAGCCACCACTCCAAGCTCACTCCTGTGATAAGACTATAACTTCAATACAAATTAGCTAACTAAAATTAAGATTGTAGTTCATCCCGGGAGCGAGCTTGGAGCGGTGACTACTTTACAACACACACAGGGACCATGGGGAACACAAGTAGCCCCCCTCCAGAAGGAAGGACAGTGTCAGCACCAATCCAGAGATGATTTGAGGATTTACAGCCGAGTGATACAAACTGATCCCTCAAAATTACTCTGTTTAACTTACAGTGCTTTCCTATAGTGGCGATGATGATAATGATGATGGTGGTGGTAATGATGATGATGATAATGATGATGATAGTCTTAAGGCAATGAGTGAAAGCAGCCCCCAGTGTACTAGAACTATAGCTGTGGTTGAATATGGCATTGAGCAGTATAGAGAAGAAATGCCCAGATCTGGGGGACTCAGAAAAGGGCAATAGTCAGGTGCCTTTAATGTTTTTATATTGGAGTTGATTCTCATGTCACAACCTTGCTTGACTAGCTGTACTTATTCACCTGTCAGAAATTACACAGAGCTACTTCTTTTCAGCCCCATGTGACAGTGCAGAGCCAATAATGAGACATTTATACTGTCACATGGGAGAGGGGGAGCGAGCCATATGCTCACCCATACAAAAAAATGTTGGGTATTCTGCTTTGTTCCCAGCAGTGGAGCAAAGGAAAATCTATCCAGCTGCGGAGCAGGGGGGTCAAAGCCCACCACAGGGTTCAAAAAAATACTAGAAATGTATTTTCCCAGCATGTTTAAAAACAAGTCAAAATTATATTTGAAAATAAAAAATGCAGCTTTTGCTACAATACTCACCTCCTCTCTGGCACTGTCTCCCTCAGACACACCGCTATGTCATCTCCACACTGCCATTCCTCTTTTGGGTTCATTGATGCCCAATGCTCCTAAGCCAACTTCCTGTGGGCCCAGGCCATCATGGACACAGCCCCTGGTGGTATGTCTTTGCCTCGGCCTGGGCTCACAGTACAGCAGCATAAAATAATGTTCATTCTATGCAGCAGTAAAGACCACCAACCACTGATGCCGGACAATTGAAAATAAGGTATATATACTGTTTATTTTTAATGTATTGGTCAAAGAGCTTCAGAGACGGTGTGAGAAGGACAAGGGTGAGAGGGGAATTGAGGAGAAACCCCCTTTCACTATGTAATTCCCCAATCTGGACTCTTTCTGGGTGATGTGGTGATGAGTTAACAGACTCTGACCCTACAGGAGATGTGAGGGAGCTCTGGTTGACAGCATATGGATGGAGATTGATGGCTTTCAAGAACGGACTGTAAAATATACAGTGAGTGCCCGAAAAGAAACAAGATTTATTATTCATATGTTCCCATCAATAATTCCAGTATTGATGAGAATAAAAGGGTAGACAGGACAGTGTTTTAGAATTATGAGGACATTTTTGTGAAATTGAACTTTTGGATACAATAGATCCCCTTTGGCACTCAGAATCGATCATAATGGCCATGATAATACTATAATTCCGGCTTGAAGTAATGCACCCAAAGGGCAGCAGTATCTGTGTAGGACGTATCAATTACTGGTATAGGGTAGTTCCCTAGAATTTATGCAATGTGTGTGAGTGGTGGACCAGTTTTTGTTCTGGGTTTGTTTGTTTGATCCTTTCACTTTGCCCTACATGGGTAAAGTTAAGAGTCACTTTAAGCTGACCAAACACTATACAACCGAATTGTAAATTTTGTCCCAACCTTCTTTAAAACTACAAAAAAAATGTCATAGCGTGAGGGCCAACCAAAACAATCAATTCAATTCACATTCTATCAGTCAGACTCCCATACTGCATAGTTCTTGGTAAATCTATAGGAGGTGGGTACAATCAGACTGTAAGGTGTATGGTCAGTTTTAGCTGAAAACAAGCAATATAGTTCTAGTCATGTTGGAATATATCAGACGTAGGAGTTGTTTGCTTCTTTTCTGCTTGCTCTGTGTCTTTACCTGAGGGTACATGAAGGTTCTCAGCACGGTGGCCATCGCAACGGAGGTAAACGACGATGAATCGCCAACAATAGCCACAGGGGTCTTCTGATTACACTGGTAGTTGATGATGGGATGTTCCTTTCCAGTTAGAGTCCAGAATGTCCCCCACAGTGCCCGGCCCAGGTGTGCACACGTGTCAAAGATCTGGAATCCTAATGTGATGTTCGGTAAAAGCAAATCATCGGCATTTATCTCTCTTATAGCATATATCATGGCCTGAATCCAGCTGTAACACACAGTACTTAATCTGATGAGGTAAAAGCATGAAGGTCATTTTAAAATTACAGAAAACAAACATTAAAGTATCAACAAAAATAGTTGCAGTGGAACATAAAAGAATGAAAAGCATTCATAAGATTTTATATTCCATTGTAGAGCTGTTCCAGGCTGTAAGGCCGGCAGGTAAATCCTAGTTCAATGTCGGGGCCACATTATTATGAGTTTAGCTATGAGTAGAGTCTATTCTGGATATCGGATGATGTTCAATTCACACAGAATTTAATTTTGGATTTTGTTGGCCAAATCCCAATCGAAATGTCAGTATTATTTTGGTCAAATTCACCAAAGTCTTCTGGGAGAAAGGATGCTCCAATGGCTTTTTTGTCCTAAATCTGCCTTGTTGTTTCATGAGCACCCTTAGCTTGACTGCCAGTGGCACCAGGTCCCAACCTTTTATCTAAGTATTCATGGTAGAATTTCTAAAGGAAGTGGCTCTGACTTTTTTTTGGCCCATCATCTCATCAGGAAGGGCTGTCAGGAGCTTTCCAAACCATTCCGCTCAATTTTGCACCATGTGCTGCCTTGTAATGCACACTTTTTCTAAGCCTGATGACTTTAATGGGACTTCAGTTTTGGAAAATTCAGAATTTTTTAGGATTGGGACTTATCAAACTTTTCAGAAGTTTTGTCATCTCTAACTATGAGACAGCCATGAGACATAGACATGCTTATACACCTATGATACATGTCATAATATACCATATGTACAATGTAAACTGATTATACACTGCCTGGCCAAAAACAAAAGCCACCACCTCGATTTTGGGCAGTGTTATGATCTGGGGTTGCTTCAATTGGTCAGGTTCAGCAACATTATGTGCCCAAGAATGAGGTCAGCTGCCTACCTCAATATACTGAATGAGCAGGTTTTTCCATCAATGGACTTTTTTCTTCCCTGATGGCACATTGGGCATATTCCAAGATGGCAATGCCAGGATTCATCGGGCTCAGATTGTGAATGATGGTTCAGGGAGCATGAGACATCATTGGCCATCACAGAGTCCAGACCTGAACCCCATTGATAATCTTTGGGATGTGCTGGAGAAGACTTTTCGCAGTGGTCAGACTCTCCCATCATCACTACAAGATCTTGGTGAAAAATGAATGCAGCTCTGGATGGAAATAAATGTTGCGACATTGCATAAGCTTATCAAAATGATGCCAAGGTGAATGAGCGCCGTAATCAAAGATAAAGGCCAATGAAATATTAGAGTGTGTGACTTTTTTTGGCCAGGTAGTCTATGTTCAAATGTAGAATATATTTGTATGAGTAAAATAAAAATATAGCATTGCTCCAGATAGCTGGAGGCCATGTAATCCTCACTTAGGCACATAATGGAGCTGGAGAGCAGCATATTTTTTTTTTTTTTATAATTAAAGGTACATGCGCTTTATTGATTTATGTAAAGTGTGAATTTTGGATTTAAACCAAATAATTAAAATCTCATAAATGCTTTTCAGTCTTCTTAAATCTGCAGATTTCAATAAAATAATACCTAACACATCATGGCTAAAAGCTCCAGGGGGCTTTTTTTTTAATCCCCTCATTTTATTTCCATTTTAATGCCAATCATCCACAATCCAAACCGAGATAAAGATCAGAGTCAAAGAAGATAATAAAGAAGGAGCACACTCACCCAGTGCAGGTTACGGGTTGGTCCCGTTCTGTAAATGAATAGGCCTGTTGTTTCCATGATGTATGTACAGGGAAAAAGCCCCCAATCAAGATATCCCCATCCTGGAAATAACCAATCTCAGAAGGGCTACGAAGCGTGCAAGAAAGAGGCTGACCGAAAGAAATACATAAGGATACGGTGGAGTAGTAGATGAAGAACCCAACAATCATTCTGCATGAAGAAGAACACAGGGAAGAGACACGTGAGAGGGGCAGACACAGGAAAAAAAGTATTTTGCAATAAACAGATTTAATAAAACAGAAGGATGAGGTCAGATCAAACTATGAGGATGAGTGATTTTCACTCACCTCATAGTTCTCCTTTAAGGATACCATCATTTTATTTTTTTAACGTCTATAAGAAATAAATAGGCACATGCTGCAAATTTGGTCATAGGCAGACATGTTCTTTTCCACTAAGTGGATGGAAACATCTCTTCCAGAGCAGCTGGGCCAACCATACATAAAACCTAAGTTTTCTCTTGTCACTGAGAAGAATTTGCACCATTGCACTGTTGGAAGTGGTCCAAATATGGCCCCATGAAGGGAAAGCAATAGAACGGATATGTAGAGAAAAAGAGGAGAGCACAGCAGAGAAAGGAAAGAGAATGAGGGATTGTTCACACCATCTCCAGACCAGATCTGAATGTATTTCTGCAAATACGGTCATGCGCATTTTTAAAGTGTGTTTGATGTGTTCCGGTGTTTTTTTTCAGTTGCCTGAAGAAGGAACCGCTGTTGTTCCGAAACGTCGCTATACGATGTGATAGCAATCGAGTCAATAAACCATTTTTGACTTGAAATTCTATTGGAGTGCAAGTGACTTTATACATACATTTATCTTGGATTGGAGAGACATCTGCAGTCACTTTGGCCCCCACCCGACTCTAAGGGTATTATTCGGTTAGGGGTGCGATGGGTACACTGGATTCCGGTGCGTTTTTTGTCTCACTTGGTTTTGCTTGGGTTTTAGGAGTGTTCCAATGTGTTCTGGTGCATTTGCATGCCTTTACATGTGTTTGGATGCCTTCCAGATCAGATACATAGCAGCATGCTGTAATTATTTTTTAACAAAATCTGGAACTGAACACAATGTGTTCAATTAGCCTAATTTTTTCCAATTGCATTTTTTGGGCCAGATAAAAAATGTTCTGGTCTGGATCTGGTCTGGAGATGATGTGAACAGACCCTAAGAGAAGACAAAAGGGATAGGTGAGAAGGGAAAAAGAAAGAAAAGGAAAAGAGAGAAGAGGTGAAGATAGAACAGAAATAAAAGTAGAGGAGGGCAGATGAAGAAAAGGAGAGGAGAGAATACAAGAAGAGTAAAAAAGAACAAATAAAAAAAAAGAGAGGAGAGGATATGAAAGAAAAAGGAATATGAAAGGAGATGAAAGAAAAAGGATAGCCAAGAAAAGATAGTAAAGGAGAGAAAGAAGAGATGAGAGATTGGAGAGGAGAAGAGAAGAGATAAAAGAGAAAAAAGAAAGAGATCAGATGAGAGAATGGGAAGAAGAGGAGAAGAGAGAAAGGAGCGGAGAGGAGAAGAGAGAACGAAGAGTAGAGGAGAAGAGAAAAAGGAGAGAAGTGTAGATGAGAGAATGGAGAGAAGATGAGAAAAAAGAATGGAGAGGAGAAGAGAGAGAGAAGGAGAGCAAAGAGAATGGGGAGGAGAAGAGAGGATAGCAGAGGAGAAGAGAGAAAGAAAAGGAGAGCAGATGAGAGAATGGGGAGAAGAGAGAAAGAAGAGGAGAGGAGAAGAGAGAACGGAGAGTAGATGAGAGAATGGGGAGGAGATGAGAAGAGAGAATGGAAAGAAAAGAGAAAAATCTGAGGAGAGTAGAAGAGAGAAAGATAAGCAGAGGATAGAACAAAAAGGGAGGGGAGAATAGGATATGATAGAAATAAAAAGAGGGAAGAGAAGAGGTAAGTAGAGAAAGAAAAAAAGAGATGAGAGGAGAGAAGGGAGAGAAGAGAGGCAAGAAGAGGTAAAGAGAGATGATAGAAGTGGAGGAAAGCAGAGAAAGGAGAAGAGAAAACCAAAAGGAGAGTAGAGGAGAGAAAGAAAAGAGGATGAAAGGAGAAAATACAAAAGTTATAGCTGAGAAAGAAAAGCGAGGGATAGGAGAGGGAGAAAAGGATAGTGTAGCAGAGGACATGTGAGAAGAGGAAAAAAGAGGAAAGGTGAAGAACAATAAAAGTGGAGGAAAGAATTGAAAGAAATGGAGAGGAGACAAAAAAGCACAGGACAGTAGAAGGGAGAAGCAAAAGCAGAGGAGAGGATTAGAGAGATAGAAAAGTAGGGGTGTGGAGCATTGAGGAAAGGAGAGAAAGAAAATCAGGGCAGGAAGGAAGGGAGTAAGGAGGAAGGAAGGAAGGAAGGAAGGAAGGAAGGAAGGAAGGAAGGAAGGAAGGAAGGAAGGAAGGAAGGAAGGAGGAAAGAAAGAATAAGTTGGTGGATTTAAGAATATAATCTGATAAAGTAAAATAACATTTCCTGTACTATGGAAAGTCTTCAAAAGTGCAGCCAGCAGATAGACATACCACAAAGAAAGATAAGAGGTGGTAGAAATAGATGGAGATGTATGAAGATGGATGAGAAGAGAGAGTGAAGACAACCTGAGCTATTGAAAAGAAGGGGACCTGGGGCATGGAACTGATAAGATATGGTGTCCCGGCTTACCTTTCATGAACAGAGTTCTAAATTCAGATAAGCGAGTGACAGTGGTTGTCGGGTGACCTGTCACTCTTCATCTCAGTGATCGGTTTTGGAGTAGTATAAATTTAATTTCACACTCTTCTGTCATTGGCTACAGACGCCTCAGTGGAATATGGCAATTCCTAATTGTCTTAATCAACCCATTATGTTATTTAGAGATGATGACACAATTGCATGGAAAAATAATTATGTCACAGTTGGGCATTACTTGTTTATCAACCATTTCATTGTAAAAGTTAAAAATAAAAGTACAGTTGGGTGTATATGGGTAGACTGGGCCATGAGATACTTCTACTTCTCAGCTACAGAAGGCCCAGTGTTGGCTAGTTGGATTGGCCAACAAATGTGACCAATTCTGATGGATACAGCAATTTATGTATGGGTACCTAACTGACTTTAATATAGAGTTTACCTTTACAACCTAGTTAAATACTTACTTACTGTTGCAATCTGACACCCAGCGGTGTCCCCAGCATATTCGCTGCCTAAGCATTGCTGCTAGTGGTGCAAGTTCCAGTGGGGTTTGCAGGGTGTTGGAGGATGGGGTGCTTGTGTTGCATGCTCGGGGGGAGTTGGCAGACCTGTGTCAAAAGCAGTAGAAAGGTCCATAAGTATCAGTATAGAGTAGTGGCCATTGGTTTTATGACACCAGTTTCTGTGCAGTGTTGTAGGCAATATCCAGATTGAAAGTGGTCAAGGAGGTGGTTAACTGTAAGGTGGCAGCTCAGCCAGTTGTAGACTAGGTGTACAAGAAGTTTGGAGGTAAATGGGAACAAGGGCTTTTTTTAATATGGGGTCACCAATGCTTGTTTTAGAGGAGTAGGGAAGACACCCTATCACGTACCTGGTGGGGAGCCGAGTTGTGGGGAGGCCTCCTTTGCAGCACGAGTTCCACACCCCTGAATGTGGAGACAGGAGGTGGGGAAACTACGGGCAGCACCGGTGCCGGATGATGCAGGACACTGGGCCTGGGCAGGTCCTTGAGGCCCGTCTTCAGCGATGCAGGAAGCAGGTGCTGATGCGGCTGGAGCAGAGCGGAGTCGGGCAAGCCAGGGTCAGCAACAATCGGGCTGCTGCTTCCGGCAAATGTGGTGAACAGGCCTATGCGCATGCGCGGTCGTGACTCTGCCGTTAGGCATGGTCTTACACACCCTTAGAAAGGGAGAGATTGAAGATGTGAGTAAGAGAGTGTAGAAAAGAGCTAGAGGGTGACCGGAGCAGTTGTGGGGGGATGGGGTCCAGGGGGCAGGTGGTTAGGTGTGTGTTGGAAGTAATGAAGTGGTCAAATGAGGAAAGTGTTGAATGTGGTGGTCTGGACAGTGGAGATTTCAGAACAAATTGCATCAATCTTGCCTGTTAAGTGATTGGGCAGTCAGTGAATTGGTTGGAGGAGGTGGAGGGGGACAAAGTAGGGAGTTAAAGGTAGAAAAGACTTGATGAGGACTGAATCAGAGGGTCCTAATGAGTGTGATGACATAGGCCTGTTTGGCTGTGTGGAGGCAGGTACCGTATTTTTGTAGGGCAGATTTATATAAAGTTAAGTCGCGCAGGGATTTGGATGTATGTCAAAGTGGCTCAAGAGCATGACCATGTCTTCTTAGTCTTCTGGGGGTCATCTGGTTGCCAAGGTTGTAGTGGACGGGGCCTGATTCTGTGAGTGGGGCAAGTGTGTCCATACAGGAAGAGAGTGAGCTATTGCAAAGAAAAGTGGCAAGGTCAGGGCAGGACAGTGGTGTGATTTTCTCATAAAGGTATTCGCTTGCAGAGTAAAGAGGAGAGGGGTTAAAGGGATGAAGGTTCCTATGGGTTTGCTGGTTGGACTTATAGAGACTAACGATAGGGAGAATGTTAAACTGAGGAGGTTGTAATCAGAGAGCAGTAAAGGGGTCTTGGTGACATTGCAAGGAGTGCAGAGGTGGGAGAAAATTAGATCAAGGGTGAGCAGAAGTGTGTGTCTATTGTGTTAGGTAGGGATGCACCAATACCGTTTTTTTCGGTATTGAGTATCAAGTACGAGTATCGATATTTATAGTTTGGTACTCGCCGATACCGGTACTTCTGGTAGCATGGAGTCGGCTTCCCAGACAATCAGGAAGCTGGGCAGCATGTCAGTACCCGCATGTCTTTACATGCTCTTTGGCCTGGCTCGATCCTGATTGACCAGCAAACCAGCTTCCCAGCCAATCAGGATCAAGCCGGCTGTTTGGTAGTAACATTAACAGGGATATTAAAGTCACCAAGACTGATAGTGGGTGTTTCAGAGGAAGAAAATAGGTTAGCTAGGCTGAGAAGTTGTAAAGGAAGCATGGCACCAGTCCTGGAGGCCGATAAATCACAGCACTCCTAAGAGAATCTGGAGAAAATTTACGTAGACAATGAACATCGAAAGAGAAGAGTGATGGAGAAAGTGGTGAAGGAAGAACTTGATACAAGGATATGTGGAGCAGCGTGGGGAG